CTCAATCAATTAATGGGCCCCAGCTGGGAACAAACATGGGCAGCAGAAACAGGGGCCAGGTTCTGACAAGCTCTGGCAGGAAAGCCCTGGCCAGGAGGGGAATGCAACCATTTATTTGGAATGGCTGTGCCCTGCCTCTGAGGGAGTTCAAGTGGTCAGATGTGCCCAAGTCAATTAGTGAAATCTGACGCGGATGTCACTGGGTTTGGGAGGAGGGCCATATAAGTTTAAAAGTCCTACCCTGCAATCTCCCCAGTGCACAATAGGCACTAGTTGCCAATTTGGTTACTGGAGGGCAGGGGTGAGAAGTCAGGAGCTCAGAACCTCAGGAGCTCCATGACCAGAGAGAGGCCTTAGGAGGGCACACTGGCTCACTTACAAAGCTATTCAAGAGGTTGGAGGGTCCTTGTCCAGAGATGAAATACCAATGGCCCTACGGTCTTCTTGGGAGCTACAGGAGCAGCAGGTAATGGGGATAGAGCCTTGTCTTTGGAGATGGATAAATGACTTCAAACTCTGGCTCTGGTGTCCAGTTGCTTAATCCCCCTGAGCATAGGTATTCTGCTGTTGGATGGGAATCACAGGAAAGGAAGAAATGAGCAGAGTTAGCCATCAGTATGCAAATAATCTGACTCTACCATTAACTTGCGAAGCCTTTTAATGCTAATGATCACTCAGCTCACGTGGCCCTCACACCAAAACTAGAAGGTGAGCTGGAGATTGTGATTCTTCACCAGAAAGTCAAAGGTCAGAGGAGTTCAGGTAGCTGCCCAAGATTATAAAAAACTTAGGGTATTTTTTTACTTCAGCACTTTCCATCCAAAATCTATGTTAGTTTCCTGGGTCTGCCATAACAAATTACCACAAACTTGGTAGCCTAAAGCAATAGAAATTTATTTTTTTGTACTTTTGGTAGCTAAAAGTACTACATCAATGTGTCAACAGGATTGGTTCCTTCTAGAGTCTCTGAGAGAAAAATCTCTTCCATACCTTTCTCCTAGTTTCTGGTGGCACTGGCATTCCTTGGCTTAGGGCTGCATAACTTGTCTCAACCTCCAGCTTCATATGACCTATTCTCTGTGAATCTTTGAGTCATGGGACACTCATAGTTGAATAAAAAGCCCACCATAATCAAGATTATCTCATCTTGAGATTCTTACATTAATTACATCTGCAAAGACTCTTATTCCAAAAGGTCATATTCTGACGTTCTTTTTGTGGGCCACAATTCAACTCCCTATAGTCTACCCTCTGGTTCCCGAAACATAACGTCCATTCCATATGCATAATATTTTTACCCCATACCAACATCCCTAAATGCTCCCCATTACAGCATTAACTCTAAATCCAAACTCTCATTAAAAATCTCATCATCTAAGTCACCTAATTAGGCATGGATGATACTGGTGTGATCCATCCTAGTGCAAAATGATCCATCTATGGATCTGTGAAACTAGAAAACAAATTATTTGCTTTTAAAATACAGGCATAAGAAGAAAATGGGAGGTCACTGGTTCCAAGCAAGTTTGAAATCCAAGGAAATCAAATCCCATTAGTTTTCCAGGCCTGAAAACGGCCTTCTGTGGCTTGATCCTCTGCCCTCTGCACCCACAGAGGCTCCACTGGCCCGACTCTGGGCCTGCCTCTCTGGCCTCTACCTTTGCATATACAGCTCTGCCTTTGGAGTCATTCTTCCTTTTCTTGAAGGATAACATGTATTTATAGCTGAGTAGTTCTATCAGTCCAGTCCCTGTATACAGAATACCAGAAGTTGAAATGCTTTTTTTCCCTCCATTTCTTCAGGTCTCTGTTGCTTTCAGTCCAGGCTGGCAGTGTTTTTGCTGATGTAACATTCTCAAAAAGACCTTGTGGATCTTTCATGTATGTCAAGGGGATCTATGCCATTAAACAAAAGGGTTCTCCACAGATCCTTTCAGGATAAGCCTACTTTTCTTCCTGGCTTCTGCTGAGATGTTTGATTAAATCCTTAAGTCACACACCTCATCTCTTCAGCAAAGGTTGTCCAGCTTTTCCCTTGGCCTTTCACTAGAGCATGCTTTCTCAAAGAGAATTTCCTACCTGTAGCATCCTTTGGAATCTGGAGAGGTTAAGACCCTCCCAAATCATCAAGTACTGATTCCTTTTTGCTAAGAGTTCCTCCTTTAATCCATTCCCTTCCTGTCACATTTATTACAAGTAGCAAAGAACTAAACTGCACCTTTCACATTTTGCTTGAAAAACTCCTCAGCTAAGTATCCAATTTCATTGCTCACAGTTCTGCTTTCTTTGACTAGTAAATCAGAAAATCACAGACATTGATACCAGGAGGGATAAAAAATAGGCTGGGGGAAAACAGGTACACAAAAGCAGTAAGAGCATTAAATTTGTTTGCAAAGTACTTTCCACATACTCAATAGGCAAGGACAAGAAGAGTAGCCAAAGACCTCAGAACACATCCTCACTCGGACATACCTGTCTAGTTAACATGGCCAACTACCTCTGTCTCAGCCTTCCCCCATACCCTTGGTCCTAACATTGCAGCCCCTGATCCTATCATCACACACCTTTTCTTCCCTCTAGAGCAGTGGTTCTCAACCTGTGGGTCACGACCCCTTTGGGGATTGAACAACCCTTTTACAGGGGTAGCCTAAGACCATTGGAAAACACATATTTCCAATGGTCTTAGGAACCGAGACACCACTCCTCTATCAGTCTCCAGGTGGGTCTGCCCACATGTAGATATGCCCACATACAATATGAGGAACTGTCTGTATTAAAGGGTCACGGCATTAGGAAGGTTGAGAACCACTGCTCTGGAGCCTCAGGTACTCCCAATTCAAAGTCTGTTTCCCACAGAGCCATCTTCTGACACCTCTTTCCTCTCCCAGCTATTCTCCCAGACTGCAGACATATATTCTCCCAGGGCAGAGGGATATTAGATTAGGGTGGTCCCAAGGAGCCTGCCTAAGGGAGCACAAAGAATGAAAAGAAATTTAGAATTTGATTTATTCTCTGTTCCAGCTAAGAATTAACACACAGTCACTATTATAATCTTAATTTTGTTAAATAAATATAAGTTTAGTTTATTTTCAAATTTTTGCACTTTATTTTTTTAAGATTAACACATTTAGTCCCTGGACAAAATGGATTTGATTTAATCCAGGACTAATGGTCTTCAGAGGAGGATCCACAAAAGTCAGTGAAGGAGGGAATGATGATCCACAATCAGGGAAGGCCCCAGAACTCAAAAGGGAAGGGACTCACCCTCCAACTCCTGCTGCCATACCAAGGAGCCCTGGAACCTGGCCAGCCTTAAGTCTATAAAAGAAGCTTTTCTTTGGTTGGTCCTCTCAGGTCAAGAAACTCTTCCCTGTTACCCCCACTTCTGCAAGAGGAAACAACAGTCACATCACCATAAATTGAGTGGAGGGGGCAGATTTAAACCTGAGATTTCCTTTACTGGGGAAGCCCTGGCCATTCCTCTCACCCCTGAAATGCCCCTTTCCTACATCCTCTTCGGCTGCCCTAGATCAGGAATGGCCAACACAAGTCACAGGTGCTCCCTTGCCCTCCCCTTGCTCAGAGCAGATACTGAAATGATGGTCCTCCTTGCCCCAATGTAATGGTGAATTTTATGTGTCAACTTGGCTGTACCAATGTACCCAGATATTTGGTCAAGCATTATCCAGGATGTTTCTGTGATGATGTTTTAGAATGAGATTAACATTTAAATGGATAGACTAAGTAAAGCAAATGACCATCCACAGTGAGGATGCACCCAATGCAATCAGCTGAAGGCCTGAATAGAAATCTGACCTCCCTAGAAGAAGAGGATTCTGCCAGCCTTTATATTCAAATGCAGCTCTTCCCTGGATCTCTGTTTTGCTGGTACACCCTCTGGATTTTATTCTCTCTCTCTCTCTTTCTCTCTCTCTCTCTCTCTCTCTCTCTCTCTCTCTCACACACACACACATACACACACACACACACACACACACACTTTTGGTTCTGTTTCTCTGGTGAACCCTAATACAGCGAGTGAGCCATATCGATACAGCCCTCCAGGAAGAATTCTCAATTAGCATGAAAACCGAATTCATTTACCTAGAGCTGTGAGTACATCAGCAGCTGGCATTGTCCCTGTTGTACACACAGGGCCAAGTGCATGCCACCACTTCCCTGTACTCTGGGTTCCTATAGAACTAAAGAACTTCCCTGGACCCTGAATTCCTGGGAGGCTCTTTTGAGTTCTAACTAGCCTTGTTCCCTACCTTTATTCCCCCTGAAGGGGAAGGGTAGTAAAGGAAGCTATAAGTTTTTCCTCTCTAGAATACTAAAGTCATAAGAAAATCCCAATGAAGAAAAGCTGTATCAAGGCCACTGGACATCTTTTAAATCAGAGCTAGCCAGAATTTACCAGGTGGAGGAGATGGGGAAACACCCAGCTGTCCATCCTTCTCACAGGAGTCCTGAGGAATGACATGGCATCTGCCAGTGGTCACTAGGAGTATGAAACTCATCTAGATGTATTCCAGACTATATGACTGAGCAACACAAGATTCTAATTGTGTTTAATCTGAAATTTTTGTAATTTAAGCAAAAGGCAGCCAGAAATCAGTCCGCATGTACTAGCCACTCTGACACAAGGTGCTTGCAGAAAGGGGGTTTACACCTAGCACCTCACTTGTTGACCACATGGCCCAATACACCTTCTAGAGCCTGTTTCATTATCTATAGAGGATATAAAGGATGAGCTATAAGGATGAACCTTGGGAGACTCATCACGGCACACCATGGACCTCCAAAAACAGATGTTATAAGAATCAGGGGAGTGGTACTTCTAGAATCCAAGCAAGGCATGAAAGGAGATGGTAGAGCAGAGCCAGCTGGCCAGTCCCAGAAAGCAGAACCAGCACGCTTAGTAGCTGAAAACAAAGTGATCATCCCTCTCCCTTGCCACTAGAGAAAGAGGGCAAAAGCAAGGACAAGGTAAGACTGACCTTGAGAGCAGGAATTTCCACACTGTCGCCGAGGCTGATGGAACCTGAGAGGATGGTCCCTGTCATCACAGTGCCCTGGCCTCTGATGGAGAAACAGTGGTCCACTGACATGAGGAATGGTCCTGAGGGATCTCTCATTGGGATGGAAATCTGGGACATCAGGAGCTAAAAAAGAGATGTTGATGCCACATTCTGTCAGGATAGGACTGGATGGGGCAGGACAAAGGAGGGCATAGGGTATGACAGTGCCCAAGCAAGCAATCCCAGATAATCAGAACTGGACAATTCCCTCACTGCACTCCAAATGTCTGGCATGTTCTTAGTTCCTTCCCTCAATGCAAAGGCAAGGGACAGTTGGAGAAGCCTCATTCATCCTCTCCCTTGGAATGACTGCAACAGCCTCCGAACAGACCAGGCTTCTGGGCCCTCACCCACACTGCAGCAGGGGCAGCTTGCTACAAGATACCCTTGGTCACATTGCTCCCTGGCCTTACATGCTTTTCCATCCTCCTGATGCCTGCAGAATTTAAGATTTGTCATCATCTAGCATCTAGGTATTGGTGAGGCCTAGTCTCGCACCACTTTTAATTTCTCACCAGACACCAGCTGCTGGCAGGCCCAGAAGTTCACCACTCTGTTTAGCCTCACCCTTACTATTCTTCCAGGAGGGCAAATGGGCAACATCACTGCTGAAAAGGCTTTGCTGTACTTTTTATACAGCTGCATTCCCCACTCTCCATCACCACAGTTAACATGCTACTGTGAGCATCTGTTTATATGTCTCCCCTCACAAGGCTGTGAGTACTTACAAATTTCTCCAGTATCTGGCCTCTAACCTGAGAGGACAGGGAATGAAAAATTCATTAAGAGTAAGGCTGTTCCCAAAGGCAACATCCTATATTTGGTAGGGCAGGAGAAGTAAAGACCACTTTTACAAGCCCCTCAGAGACAGGGAAATAATCTTTACAAAGTCTGCAAAGGACCAGTGCTACCCCTCAGTTTGTGGTTCTGCTTTTCTTTCGCTGCTACCTCCTTCCACAAGCTTCAATCTTAATCTGTCCACTTATCACATGCTATCTATAGGTTCAGATATGGTGTCAGACCTAATTATCACTAAACAAATTAAAATAAAGACCACATTATTCCTTTTATTTTGTTACTGCCTGTCAAAAGTAAATATTCCAAATTCTTAATCTTGTGATAACAATTCTTTGGAAAAAGTCTACAGATTAAAAACAAGCTTGGCCTCAGATTTATGCACAGGCTTCATTTATTTCTTATTTATTTATTTATTTATTTAATTTGTTAGAGATGTTTCTCCTTTTTCCCCCACTGATATCTCCCTCCCCCTCCCCCCCCCCCCGCCCTGTCCGCAGCTTTGTTGTCCAGGTCCAATTTTCATGCATACATGCAAATAAATTCTGTGGTTTATCTCTCCCCTCAACTCTCTCTTCTGCAGATGGTCAGTCTGTACACCACTTCCATGTCTCTGAGACTACCTGGTTCCTCAGACTGTTATGTTAATTTTATTCCACAAATAAGTGAGATCATGTGATATTTGTCTTTCTCAGCATGGCTTTTTTCACTTAGGATAACACTCTCCAGGTCTCTCCATGTCGACTCAAAGGATAAGAGATCTTTCTTACAGCTGCACAGTACTCCATTGTGTATATGTATCACAACTTTTATATCAATTCCTATACTGATGGACATTTGGACTGTTTCCAGATCTTAGCTATTGTAAATAGTGCTGCTATGACCATGGTGGCACATATATTCTTTCTGATTGGTGTTTCAGGCTTCTTAGGGTATATTCCTAGAAGTGGGATCACTGGGTCAAATAAAGTTCAATTTTTAATTTTTTGAGGTAACACCATAGCTTTCCATTGTGGTTGCACCAGTCTGCATTCCCCCAGCAGTGTACTAAGGTCTCCTTCTCTGCACACCCTAGCCAACACTTGTTTCATGATTTGTTGAAGGCGGCCATTCTGACAGGTGTGAGGTGATACCTCATTGTTTTAATTTGCATCTCTCTGATGATTCGTGATGTTGAGCATTTCTTCATATATCTCTTAGCCATTTGTATGTCCTCTTTGGAGAGGCGTCTATTTGGTTCCTCTCCCCATTTCTTAATTGGGTTCTTTGTCTTCCTTTTGTTGAGTTGAATGAGCACTCTATATAAATTGGAAATTAACCCCTTGTCTGATGTATTATTGGCAATTATGCTCTCCCATAGGGTGGGTTGCCTTTCCACTTTGGTGGTGGTTTCTTTTGCTGTGCAGAAGCTTTTTAGTTTGATGTAGTCCCATGTGTTCATTTTCCCCATTGTTTCTGTGGCCTTAGGTGATCTATCAGTGAAAATACTGCTACGTGTGATGTCTGAAATTTTGTTGCCTACGTTTTCTTCTAGGATATTTATGGATTCCTGAGTCACATTTAAGTCTTTTATCCATTTTGACTTTATTCTTGTGTATAGTGTAAGTTGATGGACTAGTTTCATTTTTTCGCATGTAGTTGTCCAATTTTCCCAACATCATTCCTTAAAAAGGCTGTCTTCATTTTACTGCATGCTCTTGCCACCTTTGTCAAACATTAATTGAGCATATTGTCTAGGCTCCTTTTTCGGGTTCTCTATTCAGTTCCATTGATCTATCCGCCTGTTCTTGTGCACTGCCAGGTTGTTTTGATTACAGTGGCTTTGTAGTATAACCAGAAATCTGGAAATGTGATCCCTCCAACTTTGTTCTTCTTTTTAAAGATTGCTATGGCTGCTCGAGGTCTTTTTTGGTTCCATATAAACTTTTGAAGTATTTGTTCTAGTTCTGTGAAGTATGGCATTGGTATTTTGATGGGGATTGCATTGAATCTATAGATTGCTTTGGGTACTGTGGACATTTAAATGATGTTAATTCTTTCAATCCGTGAACAAGGCATGTGCTTCCACTTTTTTATATAATCCTCAATTTCTTTTTTCAATGACCTGTAATCTTCTGTGAATAGGTCCTTTATTGTTTTTGGTTAAGTTTATTCCTAGGTATCTTAAATTTTTTGCTGCAATGGTAAATGGGATTGTTTTTTAAGTTTCTCTGTGAGTTTATCATTGGTGTATAAGAATGCCGTCAATTTCTTGACATTAATTTTGTATCCTGCTACTTTGCCAAATTCATTGACTACGTCTATAATTTTTGATGCAGTCTTTTGGGTTTTCTACATATAGTATCATGTCATCTGCAAATTATGACAGTTTCACTCCCTCCTTTCCCATTTAGATGCCTTTTATTTTTTCTTCCTCTCTGATTGCTGTGGCTAGGACTTCCAGTACTATGTAAAATAAGAGTGGCAAAAGTGGACACCCTTGTCTTATTCCTGTTCATAAGGAAAATGCTTTTAGTTTTTGCCCATTGAGTATGATATTGGATGTAGGTTTTTTGTATATAGCCTTTATTATGTTGAGATATGATACATCTATTACCACACTGCTGAGTGTTTTTATCTGAAATGGGCGCAAAATTTTCTCTAATGCTTTTTCACTATCTATTGATATGATCATATGATTTTTATCTCTTATTTTGTTTATGTGGTGTATCACATTTATTGATTTGCGAATATTGTACCAGCCTTGGATCCCTGGGATGAATCCTACTTGGTCATGGTGAATAATTTTTTTGATGTATTGCTGGATTAGATTTGCTAGTATTTTGTTCAGGCTTTTGGCATCTATGTTCATCAGAAATATTGGCCTGTAGTTTTCTTTCTTTGCAGTGTCTTTTGCTGGTTTTGGAATTAGAATTATACTGGCCTCATAAAACAAGTCTGGAAATCTTTCTTCCTCTTGAATTTTTTGAAACAGTTTGAGGAAAACGGGTTTACTTCTTCTTTGAATGTTAGGTAAAATTTCCCCCATGAAGCTGTCCAGGCCTGGGCTTTTGTTTGCTGGGAGGGTCGTGATTACATCTTCAATTTCTTTTGTTGTTATTGGTATGTTCAAGTTTTATATCTCTTCCCAGTTCAAATTTGGGAGATTATGTGTTTCTAGAAATGTGTCCATTTCGCTTATATTGTCAAATTTCTTGCCGTTTAATTGTTCATAATATATGTTCACGATCCTTTGTTTTTCTGTTGTATCAGTTATTATTTCTCTTCTTTCATTTCTGACTTTACATATTTGGGTTCTCTCTCTTTGTTTCTTGGTGAGTCTAGCTAAGGGTCCATCAATCTTGTTTATCTTTACAAAGAACCAGCTCTTTGGTTCATTGATACTCTGAATTGTTTTTTGGTCTCTGAGTCATTTATTTATGCTCTGATCTTTACTATTTCTTTCCTTCTACTTACTCTGGGGTGATTTGCTTGCTTTCTAGTTCTTTAAGTTGTGAGGTTAGATAGTCTGTTAGAAATTTTTCTTGTTTCTTGATGTAGGCCTGTAGAGCTACGAACTTCCCTCTCGGAAATGCTTTCACTGCAACCCATAGAATGTGTGTTGTTTTGTGTTCATTTTCATTGGTTTTCAAAACGTTTTTAATTTCTTCCTTGAACTCCATGGTAACCTATTCATTGTTCAATAACATGCTATTTAGCCTCCATGTGTTCAAATGTCTTTGCATGTTCTTGCTGCAATTGATTTCTAGTTTCATGTCATTGTGATCTGAGAAGATGCTTCATATGATTTCAATTTCTTGAACTTGTATAGACTTAGTTGGTGCCCTAACATGTGGTCTATCTTTGAGAATGTCCCATGTGCATTTGAGAAGAATGTAAATTCTGCATTTTTGGTGTGTAATTCTCTGTAGATATCTATGAAATCCCCCTGATCTAGCACTTCATACAGAGTCTGTGTTATTTGTTAATTTTTTGTCTAGATGATCTATCCAGTGATGTCAGTGGGGTATTGAAGTCTCCTACTATAATTGTATTGCTGTTGATTTCTCCTTTGAAGTCCTCCAGAAGATTTTAATATATGTTGGTGCTCGTATATTGGGTGCATATATGTTTATCAAGGTTATATCTTTCTGTTGGATAGATCCTTTCCATATTACGTAGTGGTCTTCTTTGTCTCTAGTTATGGTCTTCATTTTGAAATCTACTTTATCAGATATGAGTATTGCTACCCCAGCTTTTTTTTGCTTTCCATTTGCTTGAAAGATTTTTTTCCATCCCTCCCTTCACTTTCAACCTATGTGAGACTTTGGTTGTGAGGTGGGTCTCTTGTAAACCACATATATGTGATTCATGCTTTCTTATCCAATTAACTATGCTGTGTCTTTTCATTGAAGTATTCAAACCATTCACATTTAAGGTGATCATTGATATGTACTTATTTATTGCCATTTTTTGTTTAGTGTGGTTCTATTTTTCTTACTATTTCTTCTACTAATTACAGCAGTCCTTTTAGCATATCTTGCAGTGCTGGTTTGGTATTAACATATTCCCTTAGACATTTTTTGTCTGGGAAGCTCTTTATTTGACTTTCTATTTTCAATGATAGCCTTGCTGGATAGAGTAGTCCTGGATTCAGATCCTTGTTTTTCATGACCTTGATTACTTCATGCCACTCCCTTCTGGACTGTAGTGTTTCTGTTGAGAAGTCAGGTGAGAGCCTTATAAGGTTTCCTTTGTAGGTAACCTGTTGTTTATCTCTTGCTGCCTTTCAGATTTTCTCTTTGTCTTTAAATTGGCACTTTAATTACTATGTTTCTTGGTGTGGACCTGTTTGACTTCTTACTTTGGGCTCTCTGTGCTTCTTGAACTTGAATGCCTTCTTCCTTCACCAAATTAAGTTTTCTGTTACTATTTCTTCAAATACATTCTCTAACTCTTGCCCATTTTCTTCCTCTTCGGGGACTTCTATGATGCAAATGTTATTACGTTTTCAGTTGTCCCACAGTTCTCTTAAGCTGTCTTCCTAATTTTTTTTTTTAATCCTCATCCATTTTTCCTTTTTTTTTTTTTTTTTTTTTTGCTCAGATAGAGTGGGAGGGAAACAGAGGAAGAGACAGAGAGAGAAACATCAACATGAAAAGAACACATCGAGTGGTTGCCACCCACACAACCCAACCAGGGCCGGGGACAAACTGCAACCAAGGTACATGCCCTTAGTGGGAACTGAACCCAGGTCTCTCCAGACCACAGGCCAATGCTCTAACCGCTGAGCAAAACCAGCCAGGGCTCTTCCTGGTTTTTAACTGTATTCTCCTTTTGTTTTTCTGATTGGTTGATTTTTTTCTAACTTGTCTTCTAATTCACTGATCCAGTCCTCAGCTTCCTCTACTGCGCTGGTTAGTCCATCCAATGTGTTCTTTTTTTCTGCTACGTCATTCTTCATTTTCACTTGGTTGGTTTTCAATGTTTCTATACCTTTACTCATGGTGCTGATGTCCTTACTCATGCTGTTGAGCTTCCTCAAGATCATGGCTTTAAACTCTACCTCTGATAATTTGCTTAGCTGCATTTCTTTGTTCTTATCTTTGATAGAGTTCTCTTGTTCTTTCATTTGGGATTTGTTTCTTTTGGCTATCTTAGTGGGTTTTGGAGCCTTCCAAATTTTCCCTGTGGGTGTTGGTGTTCTACTGATTGTGGTTCCCTGTACTGGGTTTAGATGAGCCTGGGTGGGCCCACGTTACACACCACTGTCAAGTCTTCCTTTCCTGGGTAGATATGCAAGCCAAGGAAAGGTTCGGTTATCCTGTAGCTTTTTGCAGGAGGCTAATAGTCTCAGTTACTCAGTGCCTTGGGATGTAGCCCTGGTGTTCTGCGTAAGTGGATTTCCAGAGGGAGGGATAGACGCTGGTTGTTAATGAGCCTCAATTTTCATTTCTTTGCCTCACCTGGAAAAGCTGAATCTCCAGGGGTGGGGGCTGCTGCTTTTCCCCACAGCTCTGGGAAGGAGCACACTGACCACTGTTCTTTGTGTCCGCAACTCAGCAAAAACTGAGTGCCCTCCAAATCCTGGGTGTCCCCGCACAGTTCCAGCCCAGTCTGCCCTCCCTCTGCCATAGCCCCCTGGCGAGTTGCTGTGGCTATTTTACTGCTCTGTCCTGCCTCTCTGAGCTTTGGAGCGTGCTTGGTCTTTATTCCCCAAGGGCGCTGATCACCGCTAAGACTGCTGCTGTCCATGGGCTCACAGCCTGCCACCCTCTCTCACCTCCACAAATCCTACCAGTGTCTCGGGTTATATGGTCCTGTCCTGCTGCTTTTCTGTTGCTGTTTCCCGAGGATTTGTCTTTATTTTAGTTGTAGTTACCATTTGGTCTTGGGAGATCATCTGTGTAGCTCCCATTCACTCCGCCTCTATTTTCACATTCTCTACTCCTATCTTGTGCGCAGCTGGGTCACACAAGCCTCTCGGGTGCTCCCGCACCCTGCAGGTCCAACTTGTAACTGGATTGCACAGTCCTTGCTGGGTTGCACAGGCCTCTCTGGTGCTTCAGCACCCCACATTTCCCGAGGGTAACAGGATGTCACAGTCCCTGCTGGGTCACACAGGCCTCTCTGGTGCTTCAGCACCCCACAGGACCTGCAGGTAACTAGATCGCACAGTCCCTGCTGGGTCGCACAGGCCTCTCTGGTGTTTCAGCACCCCGCAGGTCCCACGGGTAACTAGATCGCACTGTCCCTGCTGGGTCACACAGTCCTCTCTGGTGCTTCAGCAACCCACAGGCCCATGGGTAACTGGATGCACAGTCCCTGCTGGGTCGTACTGGTCTCTCTGTTGACCCTGCACGCTGCAGTGCAGAGGCTTCTTAAAGGAATACACAAACATCTTTTATAGCAGTATTTTTGTGGATTTTGCTTTAACAAACAACTGAACCAAGCTCCTAGAGGAGTTTTCTCTGGAGCTGGTGAAAAAGTAACAAAAGCCTTACCCAGCAAGATCAACACTGTGTAATCACAGAAACAGTGGGATAGTACATAGTCACATCTGATCTTAGCTCTGTGAATCCAAATCCTCCCCCACAACCAACCTGGGTTTGAATCCCAGCTCCACCACATATTCGCTGTAAAACCTTGGGAAGTTATTTAACCTGTCTGAATCTCAGAAGCTTTATAGGCAAAATGGGGATAAATATTTAAGCCTCCCAGGGTCACTGTGAACGTTAATGATCTTGTATGTAAAAAACATAGTACAGTGCCTGGTATGTGATAATCATATCTCTCCATCACAGTAAACTGATATAGCACTGTTCCAAGCATATTAAACATATTAACGTGTTTATCCATCACAAGAACATGACAAAGGAAGTAGTGCTGTTATCTTCTCTGTTTTGTAAGTATAAGAACTGAGGCAAGAGAGAGCAGAGAGTGAGAGCAGGTGGTTGGGCCAGCACTGCAACCTACCCTAGAGTCAATGTACCTCACAACTCCAACCCTCTGAGCTGTCCTAAGTGCTCAGCAGAGGGACACTACAGTCCCCAGTCTCACTGCCATTTCTATAGAAGCATCACCACCACGCCCTCCACCTCCACCCTGCCTGCTGGCTGACCTAGGCACTGCATGGATGGCTGCCTGCCCTCCCTCCGTCTGTATACTACTATCCAGCCTGGAGGAACAGCATGCGCCTCGGGCCCATGGTTTCAGAAGATAAAGCCTTCAGTACTTTGGTAGAGGCCACAGAACCTAAGCTGCACTGCGCCTGCTGCTGGGCCCATCTCCTTTCCCCTGGCTCACTAGTCCCTAGCCCAGGTGAGAAACACTGGAGGAGCTGGTACAATCTGAAGGCCTGGAACAGGTGACATGGCCCCAGAGTTCCAGACTGATAGGATCTGCATTGTCTGTGTGGAGGTGTTTGACAAGAAAAAGGAAAAAGGCTTAGAAAGGGAAAGGCCTTCAGTTCTGTTTGGGATTAGCATTCTAAGGGAGGTGAGGAAGATTACATTAAGGTATGTATGGGAAAGTTTAAAGGAACCACCACAGAATCCTGTTGCAGGGGCTGCTTCTCTCTGTCTCTTTCATGTTGAGCAAGACACAAAGGAACCTGCCTAAGAAGAACTGGGGCCAGAGATAAAGCTGGATTCAAACTGTCAGTACCTCAATGAGCTCTGAGATGCCCTGTGGAGCTTCTGTTTCAGGGGCCTCTGGGCCACCAGGTTTGGCCGCCACAGGTATAATTGGTGCACCTCGAAACCTGGAACAGAAAAATAAGTTCCATCATAGTCAGAAAGAATATCAGCATGGACACAGAAAACATTGTGAAGCACCTGGCAGACCAGCAAGCACTATGGGTATTCTCTCCTTTCCTCCTTTCAGAAGCACCTAAAAAGAGAGTACCACCATACTCCACTGGGCAGATAAGTAAATGGGAGGCCACAAAGGGAAATGCCTTATATTGAACAATACAATTTAAAGGGTGTTTCTGAGTTATTTGTATTTTATTCATTTTTTTGTTGCAAAAATTTCTCCTTTTACTCCCATTAACACCCTCCTCCGGCCCCCACATCCACCCTTCTAGTACTGTTGTCTAGTTCCATTGGTTATGCATATGGTTATCTCTTCCCTTACCCCTGAGGTTTCTCAGTCTACACACTACCACTATGTCTCTGGGTCTATTTTGATCACCAGCTTATTTTGCTCATTATATTCCACAAATAATTGACATTATGTGACATTTGTCTTTCTCTGATTGGCTTGTTTCACTTAGTATAATACTCTCCAGGTCGTTCCATGTCATCTCAAAGATGAAATCTTTCTTACAGCTGTATAATGTCCCATTGTGTATATGTACCACAGTTTTCTTACCCACTCATCTATTAATGGACACTTGGGCTGTTTCCCAACCTTAGCAATTGTAAATAGTGTTGCTATAAACATAGGGGTACATCTATTCTTTCTTACGAGTGTTTCAGGCTTCTTAGGATATATTTCAAGAAGTGGGACCACTGGGTCAAGTGGCAAATCAATCTTTAATTTTTTGAGGAAACACCATATTGTTTTCCATAGTGGCTGCACCAGTCTGCATTCCCACCATCAGTGTACTAGAGTCCCCTTTTCTCCACACCCTCACCAGCACTTGATGTTTGATGATTTGTTGATGGCAGCCATTCTGGCAGGTGTGAGATGATACCTCAAAGTCGTTTTAATTTACATCTCTGATGATTAGTGATATCTCTTGGCCAGTTGCACAATCAGTCTTCTGCCCATTTTTTAATTGTGTTCTTTGTCTTCCATTTGTTGAGTTGTGTGAGTAATCTATATATTCTGGAAATTAGTCCATTAACTGATGTATCATTGGCAATTATGCTCTCCCATATAGTGGGCTCCCTTTCATTTTGAGGCTTGTTTCTTTTTATGTGCAGAATCTTTTTAATTTAATGGTCTCATTCATTAAGTTTTTCCTTTGTTTCTCTTGCATTAAGCATTATATCAGTGAAAATTATGCTGCATGTGATGTCTGAAATTTTGTTGCTTACATTTTCTTCTAGGATTTTTATGGACTGACGAGTCACATTTAAGTCTTTTATGTGTTTTGAGGTTATTCTTCCATATGGTGTAAGTTGGTGGTCTAGCTTCACTTTTTTGCATGTAACTGTCTAATTTTTCCAACACCATTTATTAAAGGAGCTGTCTTGACTCCACTGTATGCTCTTGCCACCTTTGTCAAATATTAATTGAGTATAATGACTTGGGTTAATTTCTGTGTTCTCTGTTCTGTTCCACTGATCTATATGCCTGTTCTTGTGCCAGTACCAGGCTGTTTGGATTACTATGGCCTTGTAGTATAACCTGATATCTGGTATTGTGAAATCTACTACTTCCTTTTCAAGACCGCTGTGGCTATTTGGGGTCTTTATTGGTTCCATATAAACTTTTAAAGTATTTGTTCTAGTTCTGTGAAATAAGTTGTTGTTATTTTAATAAGGATTGCATTGAATGTATAGATTGCTTTGGGTAGTATGGACATTTTAATGATGTTAATTCTTCCAATCCATGAACAAGGTATGTGCTTTTACTTTTTTGTATCTTCCTATATTTCCTTTTTCAATGTCCTGCAGTTTTCTGAGAACAGGTCCTTTACTTCTTTGGTTACATTTATTCCTAGGTATCTTGGTTTTTTATGCAATGGTAAATGGGATTGTTTTTCAGGTTTCTCTTTCTGTGAGTTCATTATTGGTATATAAGAATGCCATCAGTTTCTTGATGTTAATTTTATATCCTGCTACTATGCCAAATTTATTAGTTGTAATAGATTTTTGATGGAGTCCTTAGGGTTGTCTATGTACAATATCATGCCATCTGCAAATAGTGACAGTTTCACTTCCTCCTCTCCAATTTGAATCTCATTTATTTTTCCTTCTTGTCTAACTGCTGTGGCAAATACTTCCAGTACTATGTTAAATAAGAGTGGTGAAAGTGGGCATCCCTGTCTTTTTCCCGTTCTTAAGGGAAATGCTTTTAGTTTTATCCATTAAGTATTATGTTGACTGTAGGTTTTTCATTTATGGCTTTTATTTTAGTTGAGTTTTTTATCCTCACCTGAGCACAGTTTTGCATTTATCTTCAGAAAGAGAGGGAGAAGGAGAGAGAGAGAGAAACAATTGATGTGAGAGAGACACACCAAGTAGTTGCCACCCTCATGACCCCAACCAGGGACAGGCACAAACTGCAACTGAGGTATGTGCCCTTAGCAGGAACCGAACCCGGGTCTCTCTGGTCCATGGGCCGATGCTCTAACCACTGAGCCAATCTGGCCAGGGTCATATATGGCTTTGATTATGTCAAGATATGACCCCTCTATTCCCACACTGCTGAGTGTTATTATCAAAAATGGGTGCTGAATTTTGTCAAATGCTTTTTCAGCATCTATTGATATGATCATATGGTTTTTATCTTTCATTTTGTGTACGTGGTGTACCACATTTATTGATTTGCAAATACAGTACCAGCTTGATGTGATTTGCTAATATTTTATTAAGTATTTTGGCATCTGTTCATCATAGATATTTGGCCTATAGTTTTCTTTCTTTGTAGTATCTTTATCTGGTTTTAGATATTAAATTATGCTGGACTCATAAAATGAGTTTGGGAGTCTTCCTTCTTCCTGGATTTTTTTTGGAATAGTTTCAAAATGAGTGCTAGATCTGCACTGAATATATGGTAAAATTCCCCAGTGAAGTCATCCATGCCTGGGCTTTTGTTTGCTGAGAGTTTCTTGATTAAATCTTCAATTTTCATAGTTGTTATTGGTCTGTTTAAGTTCTCTATTTCTTCCCGGTTCAGTTTTGAAAGACTGTGTGTTTCTAGAAATGTGTCCATTTTTCCTAGATTGTCCAATTAGTTGGTGTATAATTGTCCATAGTAGTTTTTAATGATCCTCTGTATTGCTGTGGTGTCAGTTGTTACTTCCCCTCTTTTGTATGTGATTTTGTTTATCTGGGTACTCTCTTTTTGTTTCTCGGTGAATCTGGCTAAATGTCCATCAATCTTGTTTAGTTTTTCAAAGAACCAGCTCTCTTGGTTTCCTTGATATTTTAAATTGTTTTTATAGTTTCTATGTCATTATTTCTGCTCTGACCTTTAGTATTTCTTTCCTTCTGCTCACTCTGGGTTTTACTTTTTGTTTACTTTCTAGTTCTTTAGCTGTAAGGTTAGAAAGTCAATTAGAAATTTGTCCAATTTCTTGAGATAGGCCTGTAGTGCTATGAATGCTCCTCTCAGGGCTGCTTCACTGTGTCCCATAGATTTTGTGTTGTTGTGTGTTCACTTTCATTGGTTTCCAGGAATTTTTTAATGTCTTTCTTTATCTCCTTGGTAACCCATTCAGTGTTTATTAACATGCTGTTTAGCTTCCATGTGTTTGAAGGCTTTTGTGTGTTTTTATGTAATTGATTTCTAGTTTCATGCCATTGTGATCTGAGAAAATGCTTGATATAAATTCAATCTTCTTGAACTTACATAGACTTAGTTTGTGTCTTAACATGTGGTCTATCTTTGAGAATGTCCCATGTGCACTTGAGAATATTGTGAATTCTGCAATTTTGGGGTGTAATTCTCTGTAGATATCTATTAAATCCATTTGATCTAGTGTATCATCTAGAGTCTCTGTTTCCTTGTTAATTTTTTTTTCTTTTTTTTTTTTTTTTATCCTCACCCAAGGATATTTTTCCATTTTTTTGTACAGATAGAGTGGGAGGGAGAGAGGAAGGGAGAGAGAGAGAGAAACATCGACGTGAAGGGACACATCGAGTGGCTGCCACCCGCACGACCAACCAGGGCCGGGGACAAACTGCAACCGAAGTACGTGCCCTTAGCGGGAACCAAACCCGGGTCTCTCCGGACCGCAGGTCGACGCTCTAACCGCTGAGCCAAACCGGCCAGGGCTCCTTGTTAACTTTTTGTCTAGAGGATCTATCCAGGGATGTCAGCAGGGTGTCAAAGTCCCTTGATATGATTGCATTGCTGTTGATTTCTCCTTTAAAGTCATCCAGAAGTTTGTTGATGTATTTTGGTGCTCCTATGTTGGGTGCATATTTGTTCACCAAGGTTATAGCCTCCTGTTGGACAGATCCTTTCAATATTATGTAATGGCCTTCTTTGTCTCTAGTTATGGCCTTCATTTTGAAGTCTATTTTATTATATATGAGTATTGCTACCCCAGCTTTTCTTCCCTTTCATTTGCTTATAGATTTTTTTCCATCCCTTCACTTTCAACCTATGTGAGTCTTTTGCCGTGAGGTGGGTCTCTTGTAAAAAACATATATGAGTCATTCTTTCTTATCCAATCAGCTACTCTGTGTCTCTTGACTGGAGAGTTCAATACATTTACATTTAAGGTGATTACTGATATGTACTTATTTATTGCCATTTTTGGTTATTGTTCTATTTTTCTTCCTATTTCTTCAACTAATTACAGCAGTCCTTTTAACATTTCTTGCAGTGCTGGTTTGGTGCTAATATATTCCCTTAACCTTTTTTTGTCTGGAAAGCTCTTTATTTCACCTTCTGTTTTGAATGATAGGCTTGCTGGATAGAGTAGTCTTGGATTCAGATCTTTGTTTTTCATGACCTTGATTACTTCATGCCATTCCCTTCTGGCCTGTAGTGTTTCTGATGAGACGTCAGCAGATATAGCCTTATGGGGTTGCTTATCTCTTGCTGCCTTTAGGATGCTCTCCTTGTCTTTAATTTTTG